TTTTTACGTAACTTAGAACATTTGATGTGCTCGGGGTACATATTGTAGTCATAAACCCTTTAAATCAGGTAACGAACCTTTCAATTTTAACCCAAACCACATCACAACGTTAAATTCTACATAAATAATAAAAAAATTGTGCACACTATGAACATGGTGATAATATGAAAGTATTATATTTTGATATTAATACAAAAAAGAACATCTAATGTTGTTTCAATGATAAAAACACTTCACTTGCAATATATGGTTAAAAGGATAACGAACATTTCATACTATCCGGCGACAAACACTAATCCCTTACCATTTTTTTATGAGTTATTGTTACTGAGATCTAATTTACAAATTTATAGTCGTGAATTGTTCCAAAATAATACGGCATCAAAGAAAATTAAAACAATACAATTAAAGCATCTAAATACACGTTCACTTTTTATAAATTGGACGGCGACAATCACGAACCTGTCATTTTCGTAACTTTAGGTGAATATTATTAAACAATTATTCATGATCAAATGGCGAGTTATTGTGTGTTATTTAAGGTAACATCTACCTTCTTAAACCAGCATAGATTTACAGGCAAATAACCTGCAATAATGAGGATAGACGGTGGCGACAAGTAAAAACTAAGGGTGTAAATTCTAACTGAGAACGGCCGTACAACAAGTACTACAGGTTTAAAGTGAATATCATTTATACAATTTGAGAAATTAATCTTATTGAAATGGTTATCCAGGGGGAAGTATAGTTAAAAATGGGATAGGTTTAACTTTGCTTACTCTTATTTCAGATTTATATTTTACGAGCCTGTGTTATTCCTTCACATTTTGATAATTATCAAACTAACAAATAAGTATAAACTGAATAGCTTTCATTGTGAGAAAACTGATATCAAATTATAACCTTATTCAATGACCTTGATCTCTTAACGTTTGACCTAAAATGATTTTGAAACCTCACCAAGGTGCATCTTCATACAAAGACCGATGTCTTAAGGCAAACGCACTTAATAACAAGTTTTGTGTTTTGTTATTACAAATACCATTGACCTTGACATTTGCTTTATTGACCTTACAATAGGTGTTGCAGATAGAACTCACCAAGTTGCGTCTCTAACATACAAAGTTTTGAGATACAAAGACAATGCACTTCGATTTAATGGCTAGTTTATGTATTTTCATTATATGTCCTTTGACTTTTCACCTGTAAATGTGTGCTGCTGGTAAAACTGTTTAAACGTGTTTATGTGGTGAAAAAAGTTGAACCGGTGCTGGGATGCGTAGAATGTAGCTTTCAAGTCACTTTCCAGTACCTTCCAAGAATGAGCACCATCAAACAGAGCCTGCAACATTTTAACTTTTGTCGTTTTAGACGTTCTCATGGTCATTGTTTTTCACTATACCATTATACCGTATATATGTCCCAGTGACACTATGACATTTTAAACTCATCAAGATGCTTCCACGCGTAAATTTTTAATGTATTGGCTAACTAGTATAGAAGTTAATGACCGTTAACTAAATGTTGAATACTGCTTAAGCCGGTGGTAGGGGCATGGGCAGTAATTTGCTTTCAGTACCGTCCATGAACATACTCAATCTATTTTTAACAAAAAAGGTTGCTTTACACCGACGCAATCGAATGGGTCATGACAATTCTAGCTTTTTCTTTGAAAAGTAGAGCTAAAACAGCAATGAAAACACAATCAATTTATCTGCTGATTAATGCGTGTAAGCTGGCGGGTTTACTGTTTATTGACATGCTAATACGTGAGATAATTTACAAGCAATAAATTGGAACAACACTTTTTCAAGAGGTGTAGACAAATCATTCTAAAATCTTAATTTCAAAATTAACGCTAAGTTAATAATCTAATTTGATTATCATTTCTACTAGTACTAGTTTCCAAGCGACTAAGAATATTGCACTGTTACCTAGGTAACAGCACCTTTCAACAATTAAACTCTGGCCATGTTGTACATTTTGCAGAAAAGAAAACGCCCACCAGTAATTTCTCAATTCATCGTTTAATTTTCCAAAGTTTTTTGCGTGGATCTTCTCAATTGGTTAATTGCAGCAACATTTGTACTTGTCAGGTAAACTTTCCAGAAAACAAAAAGTTTGCCATTGATTTCTCGATTTAACGTCTAATTTTCCATAAAATCATTCCACGAGAAGTTACAGTTAAAATATCATTTCTCGTCCTCGGGATATCTTTACTGTCACCCAAAAACCTAAGTGTTATTTGAATCAAACTATTCTATTCCCATTGTACAGCTAAAATAAAAAAGAGTATTTCAAAATAAATTGAATTAGACGCATAGACATCTTACTGTAATTTTTTTTAATTAAATACTTTTCCCTGAAAAGAAGAGGTGAAAAGTTTAGTTTGATAAACGTTGCGTTACATCATATAAATTCGTCATGCAAACTAATTATTTTGTCAACAAATCTACAACCACACAACTGACTGGACGACGTGGCAAGCATTTCGAAAAATTAAAAATACAGATTTATGATGCAATACAGTTCTTTTATATTGTAATTTGCATTTCGTCTATAATTTATGCAACGGGCCTCTTATATTTTCAATTTATTCCTTACATTCGATACTTTGATTAAACTATCAATAAAATGTTTTTATTTCATTTGAAAGATTGATTTTATTTAATTTATTTAATTTTTCTTATCTATTAAAAAGTAATTTTGAATATCTTAGTTAATTCATACCGACCACACAGAAAGATGTGAAGATTTAACATAGTGCTTTCGAATTCGTAAAGTCATTCTAACTTGATACGTTAGCTTCTGAAAATGACAGAAGAATTAAAAGTTATCTTATAAACGTCAATTCATTTTAATATGTTAACACTGTGGAAAGCACCCTTCACGTTTTGAACTCTGAAATTTACGAAAAGTACCTGGTACATGTATATGTCGTGTCTTTCTGCAAAATCAAAATATGAATTTGAGAAATCGCCTGAAAAACGGAACACCAGCAAAAGGTATAAATATGTAAAAAAAATAAGCGGTTAATTTGGTTTTAACGTATTCTTGATAACAAAATAACTACATCAGTAGTCTAGTTCTTTTGTTAGTTTTGATAAGATATATTAGTACAAATAATGAGCTCTACAACAAAAAATGAAATTATCAAGATACTTTTGAAATTTTGCAAAATAGAATGCGTAAAATACATAGGCATTTTTGTCAATAATTGTCTAATTATCATTAAAATATTTTTCACTTAATCATCAGAAATAAAATTACTATCCAGCACCTGTTTGATATATTTATTTTTACAAGGTATATAACTCGCCGTAGCGTTTTTCCCAACACGGTCAACATTTTGCTCCAGCAGTTTTTAAAAAGAAATCAGACATAAATAATTTTCGTATCTATAGCATACGTGCAAACATGTCAAAATAGACATTTATTTAACTTGCGCCATCTGTCTTTATTTACTATAAATGAGATACGTAATTTGAATCTTCCAGGGAACTTTAAACATATTAAGCCATCTTTTTTTCATTTTAATATAAATTAAATATCAAACTTGAAGAATTACTTAAAGTTCCGAGGTCGACATATTTTGCGCCAACGAAACTTCCAATACCACCACGGGTTTGTTGTTCCTTGCCATTCATAAAATAAAGATTCGAAGAAGGTTAAACTTTGAATTCATGTTATCAGATAGTAATTTTGTTTTGATGAAGGAGAGATTTGGTTAAATTTTGTCATAATTAAAAAGATATTAATTTCCATAACAATCCTATCATTGATGTTAGGATGACAAGGGATGGTGCGTTTACGTATTTAGAAAATATATCAGTTATTTGCATACCCTAAATACTGTTATTGAAACGCACTCGAAGTAGTTACAGTATTATTTCGTTGCAAACAATGTTCTCGAAATCAAGGAAACACACGAGAACGCACCTTTTTTTTCAGGAAAGCAGGGTCTTTCAAATAGAATTTTTCTATTTGAAAGACCCTGAGGAAAGATACTACGCATATGATAGACTAGGTCTGGTTTGGATTCCGGAAATATGTGTCACCGAAATAAAACAAAATTATGAAGTAACTGATGCTGAATAGTCGCTATTACTCGTTTTATGTGAATTCTAGCCTATAACAGGCGCGCAACTTTCGACAGATATATTATAACAGTTACATTCTTGATAATTTATTTAATTTTGTGACACTGTAGTGTTGCTCTACACTTCATTTTGTCCAGGACAACTGACATAGCAAAATAAAGGTGTCGTCCCAAAATTTATCATATGTGTCCACTCAGTTTCTGTTTTGCTGAATAATAATATGTAAGGCACATTATGCCTCAGAAACATATACGTTTTTTTAATTATAAAAAAGGCCAAACATATATGTTATAATGTTAAAATAATGGTTAAAGAGAAAGTTAGATGCTTGTTACCTGAAGAAAGTAGCGATAAATGTGAAAGGTAGCCAAATGTAAACAAAGTAATATTTGACAATCATACAAAATACTAATTCACTTTAAATTCATTCAGGAAACAGTTAGTTAATAATCATGTATTACACAAACTTTTCTATCTCCAATAGAAATCTTTTTTGATTTGTAAAAATAAACAGAAACTCCTGGAAAAAGAGGGGTTAAACCCCTCGAAACGTTGGAGATAGAAAAGTGTAATAGATAATAACTAATTCACTGTAACTTAAAAAGATTGTTCAGGTAACTGGCCAATGAATAACATTTTGGATACTTTTTCTTTAACCAGGTTTCAAGCTATTTATTATTAAAAATGATAATAGTGCTTTTATAATCTCATTAAGGAGTTTTAAATTATGTGCAAAATAACAAGAGCAGCAATAACGTTGACCCTGTGATCCATGAACATGAAAATATCGAATTGTTCTGGTATCTCAGTTATTCATGTCTATTAGGTGATTGATGTGTTCAATTGATATAAAATATGAAAGACTTCAATGAACGCATCCCGTAAATTTTATAAGTTTACAACAAAGTTTATAATTTTCAAATATATTTTTGCAAGTATTATACTTTAAATAAAATATATGATGAAGGATAATATCTATGATTTTGCCATTTTGCTATTAAACTTTGCTTCGTTTGATCAATGATCACAAATATACCGTTTTATGTCGTCAACTTCTAGTTACTTTAATAACAATTAAACTGAACTTAAAACTTTCTACTATTAACGCACCCATTGTATATTCTGAATGCTTTGGACTTCTAGGTGACGTTTAATAGCGTCTCTTCTCAGTGAATTTTAACAAACATATCACCACGCACTAGCCTATTATATGACCGAGTGAACCGTGTACCGAAATTGTGCTGCTCCTTTAACTTCGGAACACCTCGCCGATTATTCCTTATTAGAGCTTATCCGGTGACAGATGTAAATAGCCGATATGTTGCTATTGTATGCAGAAGCATTTCGACTAATCAGAAATGCTTACGTCTCATCAGTTATATATTAATTTCAAAAGTAAAACATTACGTTATGTAAAAATATAGCAAGCAAAAGCATATGATCATTGAGTCACATGCATCCATGAAAAACTGATTTGTCTGATAGAAACTTTTGACGAGTAATTGTTGTGTGATTCAGAACCTACAGATAGTCGAAATATTTCAACATCAAAAGTCAGATTCTTGGTTACTTTTTGTTTTGGGTCGAAATATTGTTTCTACGTCTATTGCCCTTACATAAAATAGCACAATATATCAACTCGTAGTACTGTATGTTTGACTTACACTACTGAGAGCATTGCATTAATGTATGCAATCACAATCTTGAATTTGTACATGTAATAATTGTCATTATTATATCATTTAACAGACACTGCTAACTTTTCTTCATGAATACAAATATCTGAAATAAGTTTTGCAAGTAAAGCAGATTTACCTCGGCCAAGTATCTTTTGGAACAATACTTCTTGTTTATTATTATGACATATATGATACTATGTTAAAATATTGAAATAGCTTTCTACAGTCTATATTGAGAATTAAGTACCGGAAGAACATATCTTTGATACAATCATATACATTTTAATAAATATGAAGTGTGTATTGTTTCAATACAATACAAAATATTAGACTACCTTTAATTTTAACACACTGTACAGAGAAATAAAACATCTTATTTAATACATGTTCTTGATATCAGTCTAAACCATAATTAAATAAAATGTAACACTTAACATTTTATACATTATGCAACAAATCTTAATTTGTATAAAGTAGACGTCCGGAAAACATGTTCCAGTGATGACCAACGTTTTCGTTTAAAATTTGTCCAGAGCTGCATCTCGTAACCTTTATTATTACTTGATCGTTTTTACGAACAATTGTCACAGCATCATAGTTGTAACATGAAAAATAACTTGTGCTATGTCTGTTTATACGCACTTGTTTAAATGGCTTATCATTGGCCATAAACGCAAAATCGACGTATTTTCCAGGGTAAACACACAACTGCACGCTAAATGTATAAACACCAGCGTAAGGAACTGTAAAAACACCATTTTCTTTGTTGTAAGCACCGCCTTCGTTCAATAAGACCTCTGTGAAGACCATGATAAGTCCCGATGTTAATTCAGTGTCTTTCGGATTCCGTGCAGAAAATAATACAAGCTCTGGTATTCTTACAAAATCTGCAAAAACAATTTAATTTATATTAGTATAAATGTATCTGGTTGTGGTTCTACACATGTGTATTATTTGTTGGTGGCATTTTTAAAATCTCCCACATACATGTATTTTCAAATCATGTTTACTAATACTTTTTAATTATTAGTATATAATACAATACAATATTTAATAAAATCAAGTAACTTCTTCATAAAGACATATCAAAAATAATTTTCAATAGCTGTAGTGAAACAGAAAGCAAATATACATTATTAATATATATAAAAACAAGTGTCGGTCTAAAAACACCAAACTAAAACTACTCTATAGTTAATGTTTCATAGAAAACTCCTCGTCAAAAAGGTTTTTTCTTGTGTGAGTTTCATGTTTAAATGTTGAATTCTGCTAAAGTCGGTGCTAGGGGGCGTGGACGGTAGTTTACACTTGATAACAGGCTCAATCAAACCGAGCCTGTAACATTTTCAAATTTGTTGTTTTGAACTTATATTTCATATGTTCTCTATTTTATGTTTCTTTGATGAGCTGAAGAAAATAAAGCTTGATATTAACTGAGCTTGTTAATTTGTAGACAACACTCCTAATGATCGCTAAATTAGTGTGTATTACAATTGTTGCTACCTCCTGTATTTGCTTGATTTATTAAAAGAATGTTTAACCGATTGCATTCAAATGAGCAAGCCTTCTGTTCTGTTCTATTAATAAAGGACAAGTTACAACGGTCATTCTCGATGTATTACAATCAAGCGTGACTAAAACAATGTCGGGTCCAATAATTTAATGCTCAACGTAGCCTTATTTATATTTTCAAACCTTTAGTTTGATGTAAACAAGGTGACACTGACAATTCTCTGGGATTAAAATGGTCACAGGGAAGCCTATTCTAGAAACTGATGGTCGCTGACAGCATGTGATCGCTATTCGAAGTCATTTATATAGGGGGAATTCGGAATGACCGTTGTTAGCGAGTGACCGCTACTCGAAAATGACCGTTAGGACAACTTAGACTGTGTATACAATGCAGAGGCAGAACGCTGAACAAAACCCATTACAAATACCTTTAAAGGGTATAGAGTTATACATTATGGAAAAAAATACACAGTAACATTATCCTACAGATGATTCTCAACACTATTGAAACAGAGAATGTCTGTGTTATTTAACACACATAAATATTTCATGTAAACAGAATAATATGTTCAGAAAACAACAAAAATATCCTGCAGCTCTTTATAAGGGCTATAATTGTTTAGCAATGATTTCGAGGATGCTTCATTCGCTCTTCAGGAAATATACAAACATATTTCTTCCATATATGTATTTTGGGTGTTTCAGAATTCAAACAATCTTTTTTGCAGATTTATATAGCTTTATACCATTGGCATCTTTCAAGCTTAACTCGTGGCAAGAGACCCTATGTGACTGCACGAAAATTATTTCACAAGTAACCGCCCGAGCTACTGACCTTACGTGACCTATCTGGATATTATGATAGCATTTCTATAGGTCCTAATTTACCGCAAGAGATTTATTAGACAACTGACGTGAAATTGAATTGTAAAGCATACCTTTCAATTCAGAATTCCATTTAGTTTTTTCGTTTTCAAGTTTCGTCATTTCCTCCTGAACCTTAGTTTTCGTTTGTTGGATGACAGCAGCCAGATCAGTAGCACTTTTGTCGGATTTTGCTTGTAAACTCTTCTCCCAGATAATTCTCTCGTTCTGTAAAGTATTAAGAGAGGTCTCTACTTGATTCCGAGAAGTTTCTATTTCTTTCCTCATAGCGTCAACAGAAATTTCCTGTCTAATCATTTTTTCTAACAGTTTTTCCTCATAATGAAACTTCGAACATTGTGGCTCAAAACTACTGCAACTTATTAGAGGGACAATGGCAACAATTATAACAATTATAACACCCAATGAACCCATTATTTTTAATTTTATGCAATAGTACTAGTCAAAATATACTTCTCAAATGTAGACTTATTCTTCTTTGTAAACGTACTTATATTACCTATAAATACATGTGAGATAAAGACAAGAGCTGAGCAAGGAGCAGCGCGCTCCACATTATTTACTTCGTAATAGTGCGAAAAGGGGAGCATAATAACGCAAAACTGATGTTGGAAATATAATCAGAATTACCTGCTCTTTAAAGTAAAGAACTAATGAAGTAAAGTGAATATATCTGAAAGTTTTTGATAAATTAAGTAAAATACAGGTTAATTAAACAATGAATGATTTTTTATGTAGTTTTGCTCTTTAAAAATGCCATTTTAATAATAACTACAATACGTATTACAAGTTTAAAGTGAATATCATATATTCAAGTTGAGAAATTAATCTTATTTAAATGTTTATCCAGGTGAAAGTATAGTTAAAAATTGGATATGTTTAACTTTGCTAACTCTCAGATTTATATTTTACGAGCCTGTATTATTCCTTCACATTTTGATAATTATCAAGCAAACTAAGTTTGAACTGAATAGCTTTCATTGTTAGAAATCTGATATCAAATCATAACTTTATTCAATGACCTTGACCTCTAAGCTTTTCATCTAAACAGATTTGAAAAACTCACTTAAGATGCATCTTTATACAAAGACTCACTTCCTAGGACAATCCACTTAATAACTAGTTTTGTGTTTTGTTATAACATATACAAGTGACCTTGACCTTTGATATATTGACCAGAAAATAGGTGTAACAGATAGAATTGACAAGGTGCATCTCATACATACAAGGTTTTGAGTTACTACGTCAATGCACTTCGATTTAATAGCAAGTTTATGTTTTGTTATTATAGGTCCTTTGACATTATCCTTTGACTTTTTTACCTGTAAGTGTGTGCTGCTGGTAAAACTGTTTAAACATGTTTTAATTTTGTGAATACAGTTAAACCGGTGCTGGGATGTGTGGAATGTAGCTTTCAAGTCATTTTTAAGTACCGTCCAAGAACGAGCTCTTTCAAACTCAGTCTGCAACATTTTCACCTTTGTCGTTCTAGACGTTCTAAGGGACACTTTTTTCTCTATACTATTGTACCAGATATACATGTATGTCCCAGTGACAATGTACCTCAATAGGTGTGGCATGTAAACTCATCAAGGTACTGTTACGCGTAAACTGTTAATGGATTAGCTTAACAAGTATTGAAGTCACTGACCTTTAACTTAATGTTAAATACTGCTTAAGCCGCGTGTTTAGGGGGCGGGGAGGGTTTTTGTTTTCCAGAAACCGACCATAAAACCAAAAAAGACTCAAAAAAATTTCAAACCCCGGGAAAGGGGAAAACTTAATGTTTTTTTAAAACCCAGCAAAAAGAAAAAAACAAAATTTCATTTTATCTGCTGTTTGAATCGTCCCAAAGTTTGGGGGGTTTTACTGTTTATTCCCAAATAAAACGTGAGAAAAAATTAAAAAGCAATAGATCAAAAAAACAGTTTTTTTAAAGAGGTGTTGACAATAAAATTTTGATACCCAAAAACCCTTTTATTTTTTTCAAAATTGTTTTGCTTTAGTTTTTTACCCAAATTTTGGGGGTTTTTTTAAATTTGACCAGGAAAAATTTCCTGTTACCTAGGTAGAAGCACCGTTAAATTTAAAACTCGGGTTTCATTTTAAATTTTCCCTTTTTTTCCCAATTTTGTAACATTGAAAATCTTGTGGTAAAATCTGGTAATGTTTCCCCAGAATTGGTTTTCTCGATTAAAACGTCCTAATTTTCCTTAAGATCTTCCAAGAGTCACAAGAAGTAGCTGTTTGGTAACGTAGTGTGTCTTTTCGCATTTTAAAAAAATAGTTTAATAAATAACCTGAAAGTTGTTAACAATCCGGTTTTAGACAGTTAAGTTGAAATGGGGATTTAATTCAAGATGAAACAAGCAAAAGGTTTAACTTAATTCTTTTTTAAAGGAGAGCAGCGAAGATTTTTTTTTTAAATGCACTAAAGAGGGGCCAGCTGAAGATTTGGTTTGAAAAAAAAACTAAACATATCAAAACCCAAAATCAAAAGTAGGATAAAGGAAATTTGCAAATGGCACGTTTGTGAAAAACAGGAGGGTAAAAAAGCCAATGAATCAAATACTGATAACATCCAGTTTTAAATGTTATTTAATGTTTTGGGGGGTTTTGGGTTTTTTAAATGAAAACACCAGCTATGCGTAATTTCTCGAGATATCAGAGAAAAAAGAAAAAACAAAAAGGGAAAGTTAATTTTAAATTTCTGTTTAAAAGTATTTTTCAATTCAGAAAATTTTTGATCAGTATATTTTGGGGGTATTAAAATTAAATTTTTAACTAATGGTTTTGTGTTTTTTACAATAAAATATCATTTATCGGGTACTTTTCCCCAAAAACATATGTGTTTTTAAAATCAAACTATTCTTTTTCCTTATTTTTTTACAGCAAAAATAAAAAAGGGAGTACTTGAAAAAAAATTTTGGGACGCATATACATCTAACTTTTTTAAAAAAAAAAAAAAAAAAAAAATTTTTTTTTAATTATTAAATTTTTGCTAAAAAAAAGGGAGGTTTGGGGGGAAAAAAAGTTTAGTGAATAAAGGGGGTTGTTTTTAAAAACCAATTTTAAAAATTTCATTGGAAGTGGCAATTTTTTATTTTTTTAAAACCACAACCTAAACGGGGGACCGGTGGCGGATAGGGGTTTAAAAAATTTTTTTTGGGTCTAACCCCTGCAATTTTTTTTTTTTGGGGTTTTCCCCTTTTTCGTCTTTTAATTTATGAAAAGGGCCCTTTATAGTTTTTTATTTAACCCTTACATTATTTTTGGGTTGTCGATGACTTTGGTTTTTTTATTTATAGTTTGGGGTCGTTTATTAAAAAATTAACCCGACCACAAAAAGAGATGGGGAAGTTTTTAACAGGGTGTTTTTTAAATTTCTTTAATTCATTTTTAAAACCTGATAAAATTAGTTTTTAACAGGGAAGAAGAAAAAAAAGTTTTTAAATAAACTTCTTTTCATTTTAATAATTTAAACCCATTGAGGAAAGCCCCCTTTACGTTTTGATCTTTGATGCAAGGTACTCGATTTACGAAAAGTACAAAGTACCTGTAGGGCCACATATAAACTTGATATGTCGTTTCTTTCTACAATATTTTAAATATAAATTTGAGACATCGCCTGAAACACGGAACACCCACAAAAAGTATAAATAAAACATTTAGTACCACAATATCATCATATAATAAAAGTGCAAAAGACATATATTCACTGACTTAAACTACTCAGCCATGGAGGCCCCGTTTCTAAATGTATATCAAGTTGCAGATTGATTGTTATGGTTATGTGGTAAAAAGAATCTGACTTGTTGGACAAAGCGGTTGTTGGGTCGCCGTTTTAATATAACTTGCCTTAACAGATATGGGTTTGGATCATTTCAAGGACTAATTCCGTGTAACTGTGCTTAATGACAAAAAGTAACAGATGAAAAAAAAATGGTTCAGGTAACTGGCTAATGAGTTACTTTTTGGATACTATAAAATTACACCAAAAGTAAAAAAAACATCTGAGTAAACAAAAGGCATTTCTGAGGCTTATTTGGGCCCCTGAATAATTCTTTGACTTGAGTACATATGACAGTATTTACAATATTTTACTTTCAGTTAAGCGACTCCATTGTGGAGACCGTAAAAGGTCTCTCCGTACAAACACCTTATGTTGTTATATTTTATTTTTAAGGAATGGTGTTTTGGTGACACTTTTGTTTGTGTCCCTTGTTGTTTTCTCGTCCACGGTAAGTATCTTCCCCATTGCCTCTACTTTTTATTTCTTTGATTAACCCCCCTCTTCCCCCGGTCTCCTGTCCCCTTCCCCTTTGTGAGCATATTATTCTTTTCTTTGAATTCCTAATCAGTTACAAATTATTTATCATTTAATGATTAACCTGTCCGTGCTCTGCCTTTGCCCTGTCCTGTTTTTTGTTTGGGGTCCGCCTGGGCTCCTTGCCACTGGTTCTTGTTGCTGGGTCATATCGGGGTTGCGTTCATTGAACACCGCCTTTCCTTGTTGATCTTGTTTATCATATTTGACGTTCATTGTTTGTGTTCCCCTCCATCTCCAGTCTGCATAAACTGGTGTTTCTTACATATTTTTACTTCTTGCTGATGACCAAGTATAGCTGATTGCTTGTTGGGAGATTGCGTTCATTGAATGTCCTTTCCTTGTTGATCTATGTTTTGATTTGTTTACATGACTATAATACATATTGTTGTACGATAGTCCTCCCACTTATAAAATGTTTTGAGAGATAAAAAAAGATACTTTTGCAAAATTATACTTAAATTGAACTTCTTGACATCTGCGCGTGCGGCGTGCGGCTTACTATCGATTTACTTAAGCACATTGATTCGCTTCTGATTGTTCAAAAAGATTTAATATGAACTTTTATATATCATTTTGGTAACAATTTATAATGTATCGGCTCCGTTTACTGAGATTGCACAATGTTTCATAAACCTGTATTTTTTTGTACTGAAAATTTGAAAAATTATAAAATTTTTGCAAATGTTCCAATAATAATGTCCAGTGAAAGAAATATAAAAAAATGTGCCAAGGAAGTCCCACTGACAAATTATATGGAAATATAAAATAACAAAGGGAAATTCTTTTAAAATTTGGGTGCACGAAAATTTTCTTTTTTTATATTAAAAATAGGTTGTTCATCCCTAAAATTTAACAAAATTGGCCACCGTTTTTAAAATTTTGCTCAAAACTAATAGTATTAGGGAAAAATCCCAAAGGCCAAATTCGTTTAAATTTTGGTTTTCCAAACCAAAATTCCTTTTTTTCCATTTTACAAAAATTGTTTTTCCGGAATTTAAGCAAGTTCCATCCGGTTTTTTTAAAGGAATTGCCGTTAAAACAAGTTTTTTTTTTGGGATTTACGGAAAGACGGACGGGAAGACGGACAATTCAACGCTTTGCTCCATTTGTGGGAAAAAATAATTTTTAAA